CCAGAAAGAGTAAACAATAGTTCTGGAAACTATCTAGTTTGCCCTCGTGTTGGAACAGTGTCGGCTCGATGTTCACCAGAGGGGCATTGAATCCTGTGTGCTACATCCAGCCCACTACCTACTGTAAGCTAACAAGGCTCCCAGCCAGAGGAGACAGGCCGGGCAATGTCAGAGAGCAAACAAGCAAAGGCACCTAACTGACAACACAATTGCCCTTTTAAGGCTGTCTTTAATTTTGATTGTAGGCAGTCCAGGAAGAAAAAGGAACAAATCTAGGAAACCACCTTTGGCTAGGGTTTTCTCAAAAAAAGAAAGAAAAAGCCCCTAAACAGATGAAACCTCTCCACCCTCAGCTACTCCAGGACTTTCAGGCTACAAAAGCAGATGCAACGCAGTAGCAGGAGAACTGTCAGAACAGGAGTTGCTGAGGTTGATGGCTCAGACTGCCACAAGCAACTCAGGGCTCTGGGTGAGCAAGCTACGCAGTGTGAGAGACCGACTAAAGAGATCAGAGCTAAAAGCTGCACTCAGGTCTCAGATGCCTGCTGCTGCTTCTTCAGACCAACCCAGTTACTTCTCCAGGCACTGAATAAGAACTCCTTGCTGACTCTGTCCCTGCCCACCAGCAAGCCCAGATGGTTACAGCCGTAAGCCACTACTGATTTGCGCTGTTAACAGATTGCCTGGTGCACCACATCCCACCAGGAAGGCAGGGGGGTGAAAACAAAACTGCACTGAGCAAGGAATTCAGTAAGCAGACAAGCTTCCTAACAGAATGGAAGTTAGAAAGAAAGCACATCCTCCCCTTCCTTCCAGAAAAGGATGCCTGATTTCTTTGGCAAGGTGGTTTCCAGAAGACAAGCAAGTAAAACTGACACTCAGCCCCGACTGATCAATAACCGAGAGCCACTGGCAGAACTCCACCCGTGCAAGACCTGGGAAGATAATGATGAGCTACAGCTTTGAACTGAGCAAACTTACTGAAGCTGCAAAGTAGTAGGCGTAGCTGTCGTGGGGGTTCCACTGCACTGCCCCGATGTCCCACTTGCTCTGCCGGGAGATCTTCCGATGACCTTCATTTGGTGCGTCCAGGTTGACTATGTAGAGGAACCGGCGGCTGCAAAGACACACAAAAGGGGCTGAGCCACACAGGACTGATGTCACAGCCCCAAGCTCACGTGGAGCTCACAGCCCTATGCCTACAGGACCAAAGAAGAAAAGCATTTCACAAGAGAGATGCAAATGCTATGCCTGAGAACACTACATTTGATCATGAACTTTGACAAGGGCTACGTTTGAAAAAAAAAAAAAAGACAAGACATCTTGAAACTAGGATCTGCAAGTGTAGAACCACGGAAATGTTTGGGTGGGAAGGGACCTTTCAAGGCCATCTAGCCCAGTCCCCCTGCAGGAAGCAGGGACATCTGCTGCTACAGCAGCTTGCTCAGAGCCCCGGCCAACCTCACTGCAGCAGGTCAGTGCCATGGGGCTGACCTGGCTGGAGTACTGACCTGAGCTAACCCTAGATGCAGCAGAGATCTACCTGCACGATGCTAAACCCGGACTCATATGTCCTGCTGGATGTGGCCAACTCCCCACACAGGCCAGAAATCATTCCCACAGGTGTGACTCACGGAATCCTAGAATCACCTACATCGGAACAGACGTTGAAGAGCATCGAGTCCAACCACTAACCCAGCACTGCCAGGTCCCCACTGACCCATGTCCCTCAGCACCACACCTCCACGGCTTGGAAACCCCTCCAGGGATGGGGACTCCACCACTGCCCTGGGCAGCCTGGCACAGCCCCAGACAACTCTTTCAGGGACATTTGTCCTTGTGTCCAACATAAACCTCCCCTGGGGCAATTTGAGGCCATTTCCTCTTGTCCCATCACTTGTTCCTTGGGAGAAGAGCCTGACCCCCACCTGGCTCCAACCTCCTGTCAGGGAGAAGTGGAGAGCCAGAAGGTCTCCCCTGAGCCTCCTTGGCTCCAGGTTCAGCACCCCCAGCTCCCTCAGCTGCTTCTGGGCTCTAGACCCTTCCCCAGCTTTGTTGCCCTTCTCTGGCCACACTCCAGCCCCTCAAGGTCCTTCTTGGAGTGAGGGGCCCAAAACTGACTCCAGAATTCAAGCAGCAGCCTCATGAAGCAGGATAAACTGCCCAGAAATCGTGAGCCAGCTGAACTGCTACGGAAGACCAGCTCCAAAGCATATTAAACCATATATAACAAACCACACCAGCCTCACGTATGTCAGCTGCCTAGCAAGGATACAGCTGCTCTGAGCACTCTTAAGTTTCCCAAGAGAAGTAACATAAAGAACATCTTTGCTGCCTTTCCAGACCAAATAAGTTATGTAGTAATACCACCTTTCTCTTGGTCCAAATAAGTTGTGAAACTGGGCAAGTATTAGGAGGAAGAAGCATCAAGTTAGACCCAAACCAGTTGCCAAGGTGTTTTTTCCTGCACAGAGATGCTGGACTAAGGCTTTACACTGAGATGAGAAGCCTTCTGAGTTGTATCAAAGGACTCATTTCCTCTAAGACCAACCAAAGGTCAGCTTCACCCACACAATGCTCAACTGAAGTGAGCATCCTAATTGGTGTGGTAATTGTGTCACTGTAAGTACTGAGAGCACTGGCAACTGGGCAGGCAACTGCTGAAATGCCTCAAGACTTGTCCTGGAGGTGGCTACACAATGCCCAGCCCTCCTGGGAGCTCTGGCAGCTCAGAGCCTGTGGTACCTACTTGCTGTTGTTGAGTATCAGCCTGCACTGGACCAGCAGAGGAGCAGGTCAGGGTGCTTGGCTGCTCTGCCCAAGTACCCATGGGGACATTTGGGGCAACTTCTGTCTTAAGGAAATTATTCAGTCTGGATTTCAAGCAGAACCCAAACAGTACTACGTGCTGCTCCACCTCCCACAAGTGGATTTGGGAAAGTACCTATCAGGAAAGCCGTGGCAGTGTTTGTTGTGCTGTTGTTGCCAGCTTCCCATTCTGCATCCCACTGGAAGCGTGACCCCGAAAACCTCTCCACCAAGCCTTAAACAGCTGCACCTTTCTGAAACAATAGATCAGCCCCTGGGCGGAGGTCAGCCTGAAGGCTGCTGAGGAGTGACAGGCCGGATTTCCCCCAGGCACGTTTCTAAGGGGGACTGTCACACTCACCCCGAGAGCACCGCGCGCTGTCCCAGGCAATCCACCGACATCGCCGTCGCCTGTTGAAGAGGAACAGAGAAACGACAAGAGGTTACACCCCTCAGGTCAGTCGCACGCACAGCTCTCAGGAGGGCTTCAGGGCAACCTGCCAGCTCAGCTTCAAGGCCCAAACTGCTACGGTAAGAGTGAAGGCTGATATCTGTCCATGATGGCAGAAGTAACGACCCCTTAAAGCAGCACAGATGGGTCAAGGGGTGTAGTAGTTGATTTGGGGGTGCAGAAAACAGCTTTGGAAGACAAGACCTGGCAGACACCATCACAAGCACTGAGCCCTTGCTCCCTTCTCCCCACCATGGCAATCCCAGCCGCAGCCTTGCAATCAGCCACCTAATAATCCGTATTAATCGGCCTCTGCTCCTGCTCGGGAGCTTTCTCCATCTCCCTCTCTTCCAATACAGGGTCGGATTTAATTAGATACATATGGAGAGATAGAAGTGCAACCAGTTGTGTGGGGCTGGTCTCCAAAAATAATCAGAGATGGCAAAGAGACATCAGAATTTACTTCGTACTGTTGTAAAGATGGCTAACAGATCACTTAAATGCCATAAGAAGAAAAAAAAAAAAAAAAACAAGTAAAAAAAAAAAAACCACACCCCCAAGCTATTTGAACACTGTCTCCCTCTTTTCGTGCAGAATGGAACTGGCCAATTGTCTCAAGAGAAGAAAATTTTACTTGGAAAGCTGAATTGTTCAGCCTATAAACACAGAAATGACTCTGATGCAGTTTTTAGCACTCGCAGCACAAAATCAGAATACGGCCCATGTTCTTCAAACTACCTGCTGTCATCTCCAAAGCGACCCCTCTGAGGGCTCAGGATGTCCCTGCTGCTGTTCAGGATCCTGCTAAGCACCCTCTGTGTGTTCAACTCCCTGTTTCACAGCTTTTGCTGTTCCAGGAAAGAGCCACTTCCGTTGCTTTTCCCTAGGTAGCAAACCCAGACATCTAGCAAGTCCTGAAACTAATGCTGTAAGCAAGATGCTAGGTTTAAAAATCTCTAAATGACAAGGAAATAATTCCACCTTCTTGGATCTCACAGCACCTTGAAAAACAACGCAGCTTACTACAATTATTTTTAAAAAAGCAAGCAGGAGATGGAAGTTCTCTCAAATGATGCACATTTCACTCCTGAAGAATGAAAACGAGGATCTAGTGATTTACTAACGTGAGGATCCAGCCACTAACAGAACTAGAACTTTCTCGTGTGATGAAGGACTGGTCAGCCCACATATTTCATCCAGCCATGGCCATCTTTCCCCAAGACAGAAACAAAACCGTCAATTTAAACTGATTGATAATTTCACATCCAAGTTTATTTTTTCTGGTGTTGGCACCAGGACTTCATAAATCCTTCCAAGTTGTTCTGAATAATGACCGCTGGTGAACTGTTTTTCAGTACTGCCAGGGCCATACTGGTTTTTGAGAGCTACAAACTCTTAGTAAAAAAGACAGTTCCCTACGTCCCTAACTTCTCATCTGCACATGAAGTTGCTACAAATAGTACTGCTTAACCATGGTGAAGCTTTACTCTCCTTTTGATAGCACCACTAGCCTGACAAGAGCCTGTGGGTCACTTGGAAATCAGGAGAGTACAGAGACTGCCACCTCTGTCAGCTTGTACAGGAAGAAGATGCTTGTAGGCAATCCTGGCCCCAGAAAATACCAGATTTTCTGGTGCTGTAGTTGTCACGCAGCCCACTCCAGCATGGGGAATGAAGACAACTGCAGTGCTTGCTGACATGTATGAGCTATAAACTCAACAGCTGGCTGCTCTTTTGACTCATTTCCAGTTAAAATGGTTTTGGGGGTAGGGATTTTAAAGACTGTGTGGGCTACAGGCAGATCTCAAGCGTGGTGCCAGACAATTACAGCCACGGTGTTTCAATTCCGCAAGCTCAGATTTCCCACCTGCAAAACACACTCATGCAGACTTCTAGAGAAAAGCTCCAGCACTGTTCCACAGACGAGTTTAGCCTGAAGGGAGCCTGACATTTAGCTAGCAGCCCCAGCACTGAAGCTCTCTGGTTTCACAGGACAGCAGGCAAGTCAGAACGGCTCTAGAAAGACCACACCCGACCAAGCCCACACGACCGAAATATCACGGGTGACGCTCTCCATTGAGGTGGCACAAGATGGAGACTGAAAGCAACTGCTGCAGCAGCAGATGGAAACACCTGCTGCCTCCCCTCTCTGCTCCCACACGTCCAATACGCCATCAAAGCCTGAGGCCACAGAGCTCCCGAGCCAGATTCAGTTTGAATCTGTGATCTAGGAAGATGTATCTTGTTAACCACTGCCCAAGAGCCCAGCCTCACCAGCAGACAAGGTTGCTTTAATATTTATTTCAGGAGGAAAACAAACCCCACAGAAAGCTTTTGAGGTATAAAATCAAAAAGCCTTTTTAGCTTACAGTAGGTAGGAGGCTGGATGTAGCACCGCATTCAGTGCCCCTGTAGGGAACACCCAGCTCACATTGCTCCAGCACAAAAGAAAAAAACTAGACAGAGTTTCCAAAACTGTTTCTTAAATCTGGGTTTCC